CATTGAGTGTACTGCATTTAATTCTGTGCACTGTGTATTGCACAGGGCCTGAATTTTACCCAGCTGGAGCTTAGTGCTCCTGCTAGAATCACAGAAATAGTCTCCACAGTGCTACTACAACGACTGCAAGATGCATTTTTGACACTGCCCCATCAAAATGCTCTGTTTGAAGGCCACCCACGTGCTGCCATACAAAGGAGTGCTGTGCCCCAGCACCTTCAGAATCCACTCACATGCTGCAGTCATACAGGCACAGCTCCTTCTCTTGCTCCAACTTCTCATTTTATCACTGGAGCAGCAGCAGAGGCTGCATTTTTCACCATCAAACTAAACATGAAGAATAAAAATTCTCAACTTTTGAGACCTGCTGTCAACAATTTTAATGATTATTATTTAGTAGCAACAAGAAAGGAAAATGGCCTTTGCATCCCAAATACAGAATAATTGGATTTTGTGATAAGAACACAAGGAAGAAAGTCATACTACTGGCAGAATCATTATCCATGGTCTAGTAATGATGGTAGGGTTGGACTCAATGATCTTTGAGGTCTCTTCCAACCAGGTTGATTCTATGACTCTATGATCAGGGCCATTTCCTAGCTTTTCCAGTTCTTTTATACTCCATCAGATCATTGTGCTTCCCTCCCGGAAAAATTTCCACATCTTCAAATTCTATCAGCGAATAGATTTGAGAAAAAGAAAACATCTACAACATTGTATAACGCAAAAGAACAATTATAACTCTTAAAAAAGTTTTGGTGGGACTTTTATAATTTACGATTCTGCCAAAATTTTTCTTCACAGTATCTCTGTAACACAAACCCACTTTTCTTTCACACGTGTAAAATAGAGAAAAAAAAGATCCATCAAATTGACTTCAGCAAAGGCATGACAAAGTGAATCACAAGTTTTTCATTTTACATCAGTCAAGTTATAACCAGAGCCAAAGATAATACAAACTCCAGGTACAGCTGATTGCCAAAGTATGCCTCAAAGTATGATTAGAGAAACAAGTACAACTTTGAGGGTACAGTACTTTTCACAATCTTCTAACAACTCCCAGGCCCTAGACAGTCTGGTTCTAAACTTAAAGTTTCCAACACAACCACCTTGTATAGGAACATGACTTAACAAAATGAACTTGCAAAGGTCAAATCAACGTACGAACATCTGCTAAATACATTTCAGCACAGAAATCAAGCCTCTTTACCAAACAGAAAAACCATGTTCAGATTTTTAGAGACCATATCCAGACAAAGGTGCAATGAACAGAGTACTGCAGTTATTTTCCCAAATAAACAAATCCTTTTCATGTTACATAAAATACTTGCAATGTAGTACGTCCAACGAACACTTTATGCTGTGTTATTACCCAAGTAACGTTGCAAGACATGCTAGCCACTATCTGAAATTATTTTTACATAACCCTCAATTACATAAACATCAGAGCATCTCAGTTCCAAAATGCATTTAACCATGATGGCCTTTAAAAAACTATATTGCACTTTTAGACAGGGAAAAAGATTCTTGTTTGTTATATTCCAGTATCAGTGCTTTATCAGGCATTCATTCAGGAGATCTGCAGCCAAAAATTACAAGCTATTACTTTGGCTCATCCTAATCATATTGTGGAGTTACATTACCATGAAGTATGCACTCTGCCCTTCGGGGGCAGTGCTCTGTAGAATTCTCCATAATGACAATCTTTTGGCTTGCAATTCATCTCAAAGCATATTGATTAGAAGGCTAAAGGGAAGAGTTTTTAATAATTGTCAAACTAATGAAGAATACAAGAGGAACAATGTTTGCACTTTTTTCATGTAGTTGTTTATTAAAATAAAGAAAAATACAGAATATTTCAGTTTATTTTAGAGTTGGATGATATTTAGTCAAATATTAATTTCTGAAGAGCTTTTCTCTCTCTACTCAGCCTACACCCACTTGGAAGGGCATTTTGCACTTCCACATTATCTGAACATCTCTCTAAAGCACAACGATTGCACAGGACAGTTGCATTTGTGACAATACTCATCTAACCAAGCACTACATTCCCAGTTGTTCCTTCTGTTAAACTCAGTCAGACAGAAGAAAACACAATACAGTAAGATTTTGCCAAATCACAAGATAGATAACCAGTTCAAAAGCAGCATTTTCTCTACTTAAAATACATAACTGATAGTTTACAACTGGCAATTTATAATCGAAACACAAACATGTTGGTGAGTTCTATGCCATTTCCCATGTGACAGGCACGAACAAGACATGACTTTTGGTAAGGACCAGTATTAGTTTACTGAAAAAGGAATGACAGGTTTGACCAGTACCTACATGTTCCCAATTACATTGCAATTCTTCTCAGCCAATGGCACTTCATGTGAGGAGATCAGGTCTCCTATTTTCTCTGAAACTGCGTTTAATTTAACTTCACAATATATTAAATGAAGCTTTGAGACATAGAACCTCTGTTTTCTCCTTTATCTAAAATACTTGCAGCAATTAAATCTTAGAATTACTTTGGAACATTTGGCAGATATTTCTGTATTGGAGTAATAAACTCCTGAAATTTCCCTTCTACTTGAGCTTCATATTTGAACCAGGTGAAAATTGTTCCTCTAAACATGGAAGTAATTTCAGAAAAATAATACAGGAAAAGAAACCTTTTAGCACTCAGTAGGAATAATCTCTTTGTAGTGAAATCAGAACACAAAGTAGGCACTACAATATCCCATATTTTAGGTATCAGTTGATGGTGGCTGTGTGTTTACTCTCAGGGTCAGTAACACCCATAGTGAAGTCCATCTTTCTTACAGGAACATAACATGCAATCAGCCCATTCTTCTACTAGTCAGGGAAGAAGCAGTGCATGAGCGAATATATTTTAACGGGAAATGCAACTTCATCTCTGTTTCAAAAGAAAATAAATCAAATCCTGTGAAGCAATTTTTGCTAGCTTAAAAAAAGTCCAATTCATTAGTTGCATTTTGGAGTTCCAAAATAAATAGACCTCTGCTGCACAGCAATGTCACTTATTCCAAAGCTTTCAGGAGGTGTTATGAACTCCCAACTCGATCTCTGGGAATAAGCCGTAGATCTGAGCCATGCTTTAGGAACACATTTCCTAAACAAAGAAAACAAATGTGTTACTAACCTAGGAAATAGTGTTACCTCAACAAGCAAACATGTTTAAAGGGTAATAATGTTAAGTCAGTGTTTAACATCTTTGTAGCGATTCCTATAACATACCAGAAATAATTTTTTTACATTTCCATATAATTTAATCTTATCCTTCTTACTCCAAAGAACTTTTCAAATAAAAATGCCAGACCATGCAAGGTGTAGCCTTTCAAACACTGCAGTTCCACACCTGACTGTCTGATTTCACTTACAGGCCATAATAATTTCAAGACCAAAAACGAAGGTTTACTTCTCCATAATTTTTAATTGTGAGGTCATTCATGCATTCATTAATTTTTAATCCTCTCCTTGATTCAGTACTTACCTGCTTCTAACTTCAGAACCTCAGCTGTACTTTCCTTTTAGGAAGGCTCTCCAAATATCCAAGCATAAGTTAGTCTCATTTTAGCATAAAAAGCCCCCTTGACCTTCACATTTATTACTGTATTGCCTTGATTGTGGTAGTCTTTTCAAGAAGACATAGTATGAAAATTAGAATTTTCCAATACTTAGATACCTAGAATATTTTCTGCATGTATTCAGGATTGTCATTCAGCCTGCTATTTTCTTCTATTAACTGCAACACTTGAAAATGAAACCACATTCCTAAAAGTGATGCATTATTTAAGTATTACATGGAACTTTTTGTTTTAACTTCATATTGCTACTGCACAAAACAGATTATACATGATTCCATGGTATCAAGTTTTAACATTATCTACCTATTCTTACTCAACTTTGTATTGAGTCCTAAGAGCAGAGTAACCGTTTCTCTCCCAAGCACCCCATTTCCGGGATGTAGAGTGCTCTCGTAAGATTAACACATTTGACATCTGTTAAAGTTGTTAGCATATCAGAACAAAGCTACCCTTCTTCGAACTCCACTTTTTCAGTGTGTGCATCAGGATCAAAGCTGTTTACATATTCAACATAATGAGTATTAGAAAATCAGCTCAAAACAATGTGTTATCAGAAGATGTTCTGGTTTTAGAGATCTGCCAAGACCAAATACTGAAGAGATCTATAAAACCCACTGAACACAAACCTGTCACACCAGCAAACCAGAGAACTGCTTACTACCCTTGCTATTCCAGATGAAAACCAGCCTCATTGCAAGGGCCATCATAAACTCTTAACATTTTCAAATGCAGACAGCAGTATACCCCAACTCTCAGTCTGTTTTCATCATTAATATCACAGTGGTTTTATTAAAGCTATGGCATACTATTCCCTGAACTATCAAGGATTTAAAATTGAAATCAATACAGGAATTAAGTGCTAAGCCTTTCAGCTTTCATTTCCTCTGCTCCACAAAAGCATGGAAGAAGAATGAAGTCATACTTGAGCACTTTTATTCAGAAAGGTAGGGAAATAGTGGAACAGGACAAAACCTCTGAAATTCCAAAGGATTACTAAGATTTTATTCCTATATGCCTTATTTTGGGAAGTTTTTGAAGACTAAAGTAGCTGTTCAATCTATAAGAGCTTTGATATATGAAAAAAAAATAAAACAAGGAAAAAAGTATGCTTTAGTCTGAGATACCAATTAAAAAGGCTCAGCATAAGGTTATATCTTTACTTGTAAATTGAGGAGGGACTTTGGTCTGGGCCTTGGGTTTCATGTAGGCTGTTTTATTTGGGTTTTTCAGGGGTTGGTTTGTTGTAGGCTGATTTGGGTTTTTTTTCATAACAGGCAACATCAGAAAGCATTGTCAGGGCAATGGTACCTTCCATGTTAAAAAAAATAATCCATGTGCCTAATCTGACATTTGCAAATTAACTGTGTTGAAAACATTTTTCATCCAGATGCTTATGATTGACCTGATCCTTGATTATGAGATGCTGTCTTCTACTACTACTGAATAATTCCTCAACATTTACAAGAGCTTAAGAGAGGTGAAGGAAACCAACTGGAGATGTGAATTCAACATGATGCACTACCTACTGTATATGAAAGCTTTCAGACAGGAGTCAAGTAGTCCTAAATACATTTACTTTGCAGGATTAAGCTACAACCAACTTGAGCAACATAATACAAAATCAAAGCATGCTTTGGAGGAAGAGAACCAGCATAAGTGTACCTTAACTTAAGCAAGTGGCTTTACCTGTTTTGCCTAAGTAGTCATGAGCCATCTTGTGAAAATGTGGCTTTGCATGTGGGTGATGCTCCAGTAACTAAACTAAACTATTAGATTTATTATCTGTTTCTAATACAGTTGGTCATGAGATCACAATGAGGACAACAGCAGCTGAGGAGTCTGCTCAAGGCAGTACACCTGTCAAACCATAATCCAGGTGTCCTAAGGCAAAGCCAAGAAGGCCAGAAGCTTCCAGTGGAGCAGAAAGCCAAATGCTATTTGATCTTCATTTTCAAATGTTGCTGAAGCAATCACAGACCTCAGAAATGGGTCACTGCACTTAAAGGGTTCCCTTCACAATTTCAAGAAATTGCCCAAATTACTATCAAGCAATTGCTCTTCTAACAATCAGATACTATTATGTACTCCGCAAAGATTTACTTTATACTATTTAGCTTACACGGCTCAGTATGCTGCTAATATCTTCCTTATTCTCTCCCTACATCTGAAAAAAATAAATGGTGTGGTATCTCCAATAACCACTGGCAAGCAGAGGGCATAAATGAAATGAGACCTGGCAGAAATTTCATGCAAAAAACACCACAGCAGCAAGTCTCCATCAACCACTCATCATGTTTGCAAGCAGGAGTAAAATTATATTCACAGTTTTCACTGGATGACTGGGTTCCACAAGCACCAAAGCCTTTACAGTGCTGCTCTTTTAAACTGCACACTAAACAGAGAAGCTGTGAAGATCAGAAGTGCTTCACTTTTTTGCAGACCTAAATAAACCAAAGGCTGAACCACAACTCTTTGGATTTAACCTTTTACATACTACACTGACTCTAGGTTTCAACTACTGGGTAATACTCCTCCCATTTAAGAAGTCAAAACTTACAATGCAATAGAACCCTGAGTGCTATGCATTAATCTAAAAGAAAAAGAACAGGTTTTTAATACTGGGATTCATATACATTAACTTACCTGCTGTCTGTGCAGGGTTTATTCCTATACCATCTGAGGGGAAAACATAAAAAAGAGGGCAAGATGAAATAGACATACGACAATTTACCACATTAAACTTGCAGCTCAAAAAATATACTAACAAGATACTACATTAAGTCTTCATGCAGCAGCTATTTCCTATACCCAAAAGGAGTGTAAGCACAGGAGCTAACAAGAAACCTTCAGCACAGAAAAATCCAAGCTATATATTCAGACAAACCTGAATTAGTGTTTTAATATCATCATCCCATGCATAAGAAATTTAAATAATGCTGCAATATTATTAAATTCAGTTTGCAGGCTGTAGAAGTTGTGGAATATGAGACACTTGTTTTTATCAATAACCTTTCACAAACTTCAACAAAAAAGCTATTAAAAATATATATAAACTACATTCTTACCGTTTGTTATAATGGCACTCGTTGCTGCAGGAACTTTGAACTAAAGGAAACAAGAGTAGGACAAAATAACACAAAAGTCATAGTTAAAAGGAGAAAGTATATAGGGAAGATTAAAGTATAATTTCAACTGGTTCAGGCACAAAAAGAAATGAGAATAGATTCCCTTTGGATTTATAGGTGTACTAACTTTATTTAACGGAAATGGATGACTATTCCAGTAATATTTCCACAAATGTAATGGAGGTTTTATTCTGAGTATTGTACACATGTACACCTGAGACATGTACCAGATAGCTTTAACAGAGGAAGGAAAAAACCTCCAATAGATACCATACATTGCAAGTGAGAAAATTAACACCGTCACAATAAACTGACAACTGCAGAAAGAATTATACATAAACAAAAACTTCAAAGAAAGCAGAGTTTCCAATATTCTACATTTCAATTTCCTTTTTTTCATATATAATCTGTAAGACAAACAGAGAAAATGAAAACTAAGGAAAGAGTTCATTTAGCATTATCCAAATTACTATTGCCAAATGTATATTGTGGGAATGGCTAGACTGCTACAAATGACTGAGACTCCCCATTTAATGATCCAGTTTTCCTGCACTTCCAGCTTTGCCAATCATGAATTGTGTGAAATGAACTTTCACGTTATGTGATGTGCTAGAGATGACAGAAAAAAAACATGTTCTGTGTTTCAATTATTTCCAAGAACGAAAAAGGGAAGCAGCACACTTTTTTTGTGCAATAAAAGTAATTCAGAAAACTTTACTCAGAAAAACTAACCTCTGACAAAGCACTGTGACTGACACTTGATACCTAAGATTCCCCTTCTACATCATGGCAACAGTTATACTGTTTCAGAGGAATTCTGGTTATGATTTGGTCAAGCTTTAAGACTCCGAAAGATGTCGCAGTAGAAACTTGCTAAGGCTAAATGGCCAGAACTGAAATCCTTCTGTCCCAAAAGCTTTAATCACTGAGATGATAATGCATGTCCTCTGGAGACCAACTAACAACTGCCCAAATTTTGATCTTTACCATATGTTTCATACAAGGTACTGGGAAAGTGGGACCTGAATCACAACACACAGCATAAGTTAATGTTAAGCTACGCAGTTCAAGGAATGTAAAAACATTCATATAACACAAAAATTGTCTCTCATTCTTTTCAATGCCAGTTCACACTTCGTTCCTGGGGAAGAGTCTAAGGGCCTTATTCGTTCTCTGTTTACAAAACACTTTGTTCTGCATTGTCTCACAGAGACGTAAAAAGCTTCAGTGTTGAACCAGAGTTGTCTGAGGTCAGACAGCAAAATGGACACTCCAAATACTCACATCGATTAAAATAATGGTTTGCTAAACGTGAATTTTTAAGTAAATAATTCTTCTCTAAATCAATTTCTCAGAGGACCCTATCACCAGCTAACACGGTGGTTCCACAAGTAGGTAAAGTTACCAGGTTTGATGCCAACCCTCCCACTGGAAGTATATACCTCCCCTCTTCGTATCTCCAACTACTCAGTCCCACTCCAGTCTTTCCTGGTCCCTCACACTAGTCCATTAGACTTTTAAGTCTAGGTCTCTATGTATGTGTTGTATGGGCACAGATGCATTAGTTCAGAATAAAAATAACTGGGGGAAAGAAAACATAGTAAAAACCCCAATTAAATCATCAAATATCTTTAACAACGTGTAATATTCTGTATAATGCTCTCTTCAAGTAAATTTACAACAAAACCAAACAATAACCTTCCCCCACAAGTTATGTTTCCACTAGGAACTTCTGTCACATAGTGGCATAACAGTAACAACATAAGGGGACTCAAGACATCTATTCCATTATCCTTCCTAGTTTTTGATTTTATTACAGTTTCAGTGCTTGAACAAAACACGTTTTCAATAACCCAAAATTCCCCAAGGAAGACAGGAAGGGAATTGCATGAATGGACTCTCAGCTGAGTTTTTGTTGATTGGATGAAAAGGCCCATTGTGCTTTTGAGCACTTGATTTTACTTTTCACACCCAGTGCATATCTCTTAATCTCTGCAGGCTTCATCTGAAACAAGACACATCTCTTCAAATACATTACATGGGCAATTTAGGCACCAAATGGTTTAGGATACCATGTGAAAGATCCAACACCAGGAAGCCAAAGAACACGTTATCCACGTCTCATTCCCTTAAGTCAGTTTTTTTGAGTCTAACCCATATGTCTAATCTCAGTACCTTCTATAATCAAAAACTGTGTGCTTTCCAAAGCCAGAGAACACTGGAACTGAAGAGAATCATAGAACCACCAAGGTTGGAAGAGATCTTTAAGACCTTCAAGCCCAACCATGCACCACTAGCATAACCACTGCAACCCCTAAACCACATCAGTGGTTTAATGATCAGAATTTGAAAAGAGTTTTAGAACTTCCTGAATAACTCTAAATTATAGTTCTAAAGAATTTTCTGGATGTTCTGCATAAGCAATTTTTAATGCTAAGCATTCAACAGCAGTACCTTTTCATTCTCTTCACTGTCACACATTTTTAAATGACTGATATGAAATGATTTCATTTAATCGCAAAGAAGAACAGGAAGTTTATCACTGCCTCCTGCTGCTGTGTGAATTGTGCAAGAACTGAAATTGTGCAAGAAGTTTAGGATTCTGAAAGCTTTGGCAGGTCCTTACTGAGGCCAGTAAAGTTACAGTCCACCTGTAACCACCAGCAGTGTACCCTGTGCTGCATTAACTTCCCAGGGAGACTGTGGCTGCCCCAACGCTGGCAGTGCTCAAAGCCAGGCAGGATGAGGCCTTGAGCAGCCTGGTCTGGTGGGGAGGTGTCTCTGCCCAGGGCAGGAGGAGTTAGGAGTGGATGATCTTTAAGGTCTATTCCAACCTCTTAATATTCTACGATATTAACCACTGCATTTTACTATTAAAAAGCTTCTGCTTCCAAGAATGTTCAAATGTCAAAACCCAGTATCGTCGTCTTCTACTTACTTCTTCTGCAGCAAACTTCAACACAGCTGTGAAAGGCGTGCTCTCGGGAACACTCAACCTGAAATCACAGCACAAGTGAACACAAGGCTGCCAAGACCAACCGCAACCTTTTCTGCTATGAAACTACTCATTGAAACTTTACCAACGGCAGTACTCCAACCAGAGGTGTGCAAGTACTTTTTGACGCCTATACCAAAGCTTGCAAAGACGCGCGTGGCAAAGCCCTGATAGCGAGTCAACCCCAGGCACCTCCCGCACGGAGGGAGACAGACGCCGCTCCCGGCGGCGGAACGAGCGCCATG